TCCATTCGGTCAATAGTGAGAAGAGATCTACAGGCTCTAAGGAAAATAACGTTTAGATTTCCTTACAACTGAAACAACAATTACAAAAACATTTTCTCATGTAATTGCTGTAAAATAAAAGATTTATTTTACTCAAAATAAAGATATTTCATAAAATATTGCCAATATATTCAAAGTATATGAGCAGTTAGATACCAAATATTTCAGATTGTAAAATTATTTAACCTTACATTATCTACTGATTTAAGAGTTCATATTTTATATGTAAAATACAAGAAAACGAATAGTTATATATTTTTATTTAAAGATTATTTACTAATTATAAAACTTAAGTTTAAAAACGAATAATTACAAATTTGCGGAAACTTTTGAGGCCACTCGGTAGTTAGGACCCTTTAGTTTGCTTATAGATAAATCCTTTTATAATATACAAAAGTATAATTATAAATTATTGTTACAATATAATTATATTTAAAGGAAGTTAAATTGTATTTAGCAAAAAGCCATTCTAACATATAACATTTCCATTTTTGGAATCCACAAGTAAAGATGTTATAATTTCAAATTGAAAATATTAGCGAATTTTAAGTATATACAGGATGTTGCTTCATTTAAAATGCGTTTGTTTTAAATTTCACGAAATTTTAGAATATAAAAATTCAAAAAACTTTTACAAATTTTTAGTTTAAATTTTGTTTACATTATCTGAATTTTTGTCAACGAAAAATTGTAGTTTATGGACCGTAAAATCCGGAAATTTTCAAAAATATTCTTTAAATCCTATTTTTTAAAATAAAACAAGTGACAAATATCGTTTTTAAAGATTATTTTCATGCATATTAAGGACATTCTTTGCGTTTACTCCCCAAAATGCCAACTTTCCTGTTCTATGATAAAATATTACATATATTTATTCTGTTGTTTTAATTAAAATTAATATAAATTTTAAAACGAGCTTATAAACAATAAAATGCAATTAAATTTTATTATTTCTTATACTTAAAATTCAAACAAGTAAACTATAACGTGATATCTTATTTATTTATTTAAACTGCATTCAACATATAAATAACTTAAAAATAAACATCTGTATAAAAGTTTTCAAGTGAAAAAAGAAAAAAAAAACTGAATAAATGAAACATAAATAGTGCTGAATATTTCTATTTTATATTTATATTTAAATTTATACTTTTTATTTTTATATTTGAACTTTTTAAGCTGAACACAAAAGAGTTTTGCTTTTGACATTATAATGTAAAATGACAAGTCAGAAAATTTTTTATTCTTATTTATCTTTAGCTTAATAAAACATCTTTAGACAATGTTGGTATCATGTAGTTCCAAATTTAATCATTGGTTTCCACTGATAAATTCCGCTTCCACTTCCACAATATCTCACAATATTCGGTAATAAGAATAGATAATTGTTTTAACATTGCCAAAAATTATAATTAGCCAAGTCCATCTGTTGCCACATCTCCATATCTTCCACAACTGTAACATTAATGTATTAATTTACTCAATTGTCATGTCTCTCTGTTCAAGTTCTGTTAAACTCTAACCCTCCATTCTACAGGGATCCAGCCTAATTGTTAAATTTAAGAAAATATTAATAAAATAATGTAAGATTATGAAATTTTTCGAGACAAAAGTAAGGTTTTAAACAGAAAAATGTATTTCTTATCTGAGTTTTTACATATTTCAACAACAGAAGTCAAAATCATAAAGAGAGAAATCAAGTAGTGTTTCGATGTATCAAGTCCACATTAACGTGCTATTATTAATTATTTATTATTAAAATAAATTAATTCTGAGATTAGAGTTAATAAAGTTGATTTAAAAAGATTGATGAAAAACAACATTTTTCTCTCAACTAATCCTTTTTATTAATTAAAAATAATTATTATAAGTACAAGACTTTAAAAAGATTTCACGTCGCAGAGAAAATATAACGTCGTCTTTTTAAATTCATTAATCCATTTAAGTATTTTACTCAAGGATTAAAAATCAAATTACTATTAATTTTTACTTATAAAACTGTAAAGTAAAGAAATAATTGTTTTGAATAAAATTTACATACGAAAAATTATAGCATAGGCCCATTAAATTTTATAAATTGTAAATATTTATTTGCAATATTGACTTGACAATTTTAAATATTTAACAAAACCAACTATAATATGGGTCTATAACTATTTCACTACCCATACAAGTTAAATCTCTCATAGTTTTCATAAACATTAAGTTAATTATTTATTTAATACTTTAATATATAATCTTGATATCTATATACCCTTACAGACGTGCCCCCAGAGACCGAGTGAATAAAACCACTGAACAGTGGTAGTTTGTCGTTGGTTCACGTCTCGCTAACGGGCTGCCACATGCAGTTTTTCGGGTTTTCTTCATGTGTAACACCTAGGGTTTCTCATTTCCCGGTCTTTTGCTTTTCCCGGGATTCCGGGAGAAAAGTGAACTGTTTCCCGGGATCCCGGGAAATCCCGGGATAGAATTAATTATTTTTAAGGTATACAAAATATCTTGAAATCAAATGATATAATTATTTTCCATTTTTTAAAGTAATTTTAAAGTTCTGTAACCTCCAAAATCATATTAATAATGCTGTGTAAGGTCTATAGGCCTATAATAAAAATTACCTTTAAATAACGTAGAAATTTTCACAAATAGAAAAAAATTAATTAAAGTTTGCTGGAAACTGCATACAACAACAACAAAAAAAATGTTTTGAATTGAGTTAAAAATAAAAAAAATGAACTTCTAATTTAGAAGGTAATTTTCGTTTTTTAAATAAAATATAATACAAAATATTGTAAACTTTTATAAGATTTTAAAAAGCAAAGATGATCAATACTCCGATCACTCACTCTAATTCTTATTTTAGTAATGAAAAGTCTTGCTACCGAGAATGCCCTTTCCGATTCAATTGATGTGATTGGAATAGTGTTTAATGCATTTAAGAGAAGACAGATATTGTGTTTTTTCACCTGTAGCCTGGAAGATTTCGAGTTTGTTTTCGAGATTGTTGTACTTCTTTTGATCTCTAGTATTTTTTATTTGTCTACCTCGACTGCTTTAATAGCGGCATCAAGCTTATAGCTCAATAATTCGGCAATTTGTTTGGCTTTAATAATCAGGTTTATGAAGAAAAACTTCATACTTACAGACTTTATACTTGTTTGTATCTTTGCCCAATTTGCACAATATGGCGTTACGCATTTATTGAAGCTACTGGGCATGGTTAAAAATTAAGACAGCGTAAGCGCAATTATTCCATATATTACAGGTTCTGACAAGTAAAGAATTTTCAGAGTCCTGGCACAAATAAGCTACGTATTGATTATCGACCATTTGTGACATGCCATAACGAGCAAAAATTAAAAAAAAAAAAAAAAACTAATAGGTAGGTTTAAAATTAATAAATACAAATGGATTCTGACAGTGAATGAGATAATTATGCTTTTTATTTGCAAAATTTCTTAATCTTAACACAAAATAAGAAAAAAAGTGAATTTTTAAGAAATTTGCGGGATAAGAAAAATTTCCCGGGTTAAAAAAACAACCGGGATCCCGGAATCCCGTTTGAGAAACACTAGTAACACGTAAATAGGGACCAGTTTCCCTTAGAAAGTCTTCTCTAAAAGACATCCCTTCCAGCTGTCCACCATTCGTCGAGTGGATTAAAACTATTGAACACTGGTAATTTGTGGTGGGTTTGCGCCTCTCCACAGGCTGGCCACGTGGAGTTTTCCTGGTTTACTTCACATTTAAAACACCTAAATAGGGGCAAACTGGTGTTTCCCTTAGAAAGTACTCTCTGGGAGACAACCCCTCGCAGAAGATCCATATGTCGTGTTGCTGTATAAAACCAATCCAATCCATACAGATGGAGGGGTACATAAATACAGAACAATATAGAAAATAACATTTATTATAGTTTATGGAGTAACAAATATCTAATTTCTAGTTTGCATGTTATATACAACTGTGTATGCATTTATATACAACTATTTAAAGTATTAAATAAATAATTAATTTAATGTTTATGAAAACTATAAGAAAGTTAACTTGTATGGGTAGTGAAATAGTTATAGACCCATATTATAGTTGGTTTTGTTAAATATTTAAAATTGTCAAGTCAATGTTGTATACAACTGTAAATTTTTGCACGTGTATGTATTTATCTACAGCTAATATCTGTTGCATCTAAGCATGATAAAGTTTTTCATAGATATAAAAGCATTAACATTACATATACAGTGTTAAAATGTCTTATTCTTCTATTTATTTTTCTGTATAGGCATGATAATTCTGTAAAGGATGATCTTATATTTAACACAAGTCGTTTGTTGAATGAGCTGCTGCGTGCAGAAAAGTACGATAAAGAAATTAGACCAGGATTTGGAGGCGAGTATTTTTAATTTATCATAAGGATCGAGTTTTATTTTTCGAATCAAAAAATGACAAAAATATGAAAAGAATAATACGATAAATTTTTGAGGGGGGATTAAATACATATAAAAAAATTCTATGTGGAATAAACTATCAGCTTTATTTTCTTCTCATAAATATGTATTTTTAAGATAAAAATATTTAAATTTTGATTTATGACTAAATGCATATTTATGTGTAATAATATGTAAATTAAGATTCCGAACTTTTATGTATTTGTCATAAAATTTTAAAATTTTTATCGTAAAATCTTTTCATAAATTATCTATTATTTTCTTTTCTTTTCTTTATAGAGATAAATTTTATTTTTAAAACTATTTTTTTATAATTTTAAATTTATATTTTAATAAGTAAAAATTCAATTTTTATTAATATACATAAAATATTTTTAATTAATTAATTTTTATATCGTTTTGTAATTAAAATCGTAATGTTTAAAACATAAATATTCAATTTTCTAATTTTATATTAAAAATAATAATTTTAATATCATTTTTAAATTTATTTGTTAGCTTCTCCGACTGTGATAATTACTGATATTGAAATTCGAAGTTTTGGACCCGTCTCCGAAACTCAAATGGTAAGCTTATATATTTTATTACGTGACTTATAGAAAATTTATTATATAACTATTTTTTATAAAATAATATCAAATTATAAATATTAACCATTAAAAATTAAAAATTGATCAATAAATGGTCATTTACTTTCCGACTATTATATAGGCCCATAACAGAGGGAAAGTATGACAATCGGTCAAAAAATGACCCTTCCAAGAATTTTACATTATTGGACTTAGGGGATCTTAAAACGTTGATAAATACTAAAAATGGGTTTTTTTACTGTATTTTTAGATGATAGTACGTGTGTGAGGAACATGATTTTGTTCACCTATTTGAGGTTTAAATTTTCTGAAATTTTGCAAGGAAATTTATATATTAGAGGGATTGATATTATTAAATTTTGGTAGTTAAAAGCCCAGGGGATGGGGCGATAGAAAGAGTCGTATGTCATATATCGAGTGGGGTCGGACTTAATAAATCTATTGCCGTCAGTCGCTGGGCCCCATTTATTAATCTACCCGATCAACTGATGCCATCTCTTTGAAATTTTTTCTTTGTGAGAATGTGTGTATGCTACAAAACTGCCTGGCATGAGAATCCCTCATACAAGAATCTCTGGATGCCATTAACAGCGTGACTCCAAACATGCTGGCTCAGACGTGAACCAAAATCAAGTACAAAGTGAGTATTGTACTTGCCACGTCAGGAGCATATGTGGAAATGTACTGATTTAATCTAGTAACTAACTTTTTCAGATGCACTTTTTATTACCATTATGTACAGTATTACACTCACATTTCTCTTCCAAAAATTAATCTACAAAACTAGGGAGTTCAAGGCTATCATTTTAGCTTTTCATTAACAAATCGTTGTAGGATATTTAATAATAAGGTTTATGCTAATATAAAAATTTCATTGCTATAATTTACTTAAAATCACTAAACAAATTATTACTTATAAATAAACTTAGGAAACAATTTTTCTTTAATACTAATGATAAAAAGATATTGTCAAGCCTTATTATATATTTAAAAAATAAATAATTTTTTAACTCATGCCATAGTGTTGTGCTATTGTTAAAAAATAAATAATTTTTTAACTCATGCCATTATGCTGTGTAATTTTAGCACAACATGTATATATATACATGTTGTGCTAAAATTACACAGATATAGATACTAGATATTTAATTATATTGACAAATTTAGTCGTTATAATTAAGAATTTATTCTAATTTTCTTTAATTATTGATATACAATTTGCTGCATATGCTATTTTTAATATGTAATAATACATAGATTCTTTTTAAGAAATCATTTATGTTTTTTTTTAAAATAAATAATAAAATGATTTTATCAAGAATAATTTTGAAAAGTTTTTGAAGTAATATGTTAAAAAGTTGTTGATTTTATTATAATAAAAATGCCCTGAAAAATTATATTTTCTTTATAAATAATTTATATAAAGGTAAAATATAAATTTTTGTGATACTTACTGTATATAGTATATATACATTATATAATTAGAAATTATATTTCTGCATATATATTCTGGTTTACTTCACATTTAAAA